TTAAGGGTGCTAGACGCCCACATGGTCAACCGTGGCTTGAGTTCCCAACCTGGCAGCTTGCTTCCTCATTCTCTCTCTCTCTGTCCCTCTCTGGTCAAATTAAAACAAACACACGGGAACCAGCAGTTAGCATAATGGCTATGTCGCTGGACTCCCACGTAGTCAACCGCGGTTCGCGTCCCAGACCCGGAAGCTTAAAAACTCACGCCAGGCGCGTGTGCTTGCGTGCCCAAGATCCTGAGAGGAGAATGGAGGAGAAGGGATTACGACGTGACCATCCCCTCTGGGGGGTGATTTCTCGCTTTCTGTCTCTATGTCTCTCTCTGTCTGTCTGGCGAGCGCATGCACCCTATAGCAAAAAAACCTCTCAAAAAAGAAAAAAACACATAAAGTTAAATAATTCTTAAAAAGGGCCAGCACGTGGCATGGTGGTTAACGCACTGGACACTCCCGCATGGCCAGATACGGTTCGAGTCCTGGACCTGGTGACTTGGCTTCTCACTTTCCTTTTCTCAGTGTGTCTTTCTCTGGTCAAATGAAAATAAATGAATGGGGACGAGCTGTTGGTGTAATGGCTATGTCGCTGAACTCCCATATAGTCGACCACGGTTCAAGTCCCGGACCTGGTGGCTTAAACTCATGCCAGGCGCATGCGCATGCGTGCCCAAGATCCTGAGAGGAGAATGGAGGAGAAGGGATTGCGGCATGACCATCCCCCCTGTGGGGTGATTTCTTGCTTTTTGTCTCTCTGTCTCTCTCTGTCTTTCTGGTAAGCACACGCACCCTATAGCCAAAAAAAAACTCTCATAAAACAGGAAAAAAGAAAGAAAAAAAGAAATGAATTAATAAATAAAACTAGGAAAAAAGAAAACAGGAAAAAAAAAAACAGGAAAAAAGAAAGAACATAAAAACAGGAAAAAAGAAAGTAAAAAGAAATGAATTAATAAATAAAACTAGACAAATAATTCTTTTAAAAAATCATTATTCAAAAGTAAAAAAAATTCTAAGAAAAACAAACTCACGCCAGGCACGTGTACATATATGCCCCAAATCCTGAGAGAATAGAGGAAAAGGGATTACAGTATGGCTATCCCTCTGGGAGATGATTTCTCACTTTCTGTCTCTCTAGTGAGCTCATGAATCCTATAGCAAAAATCTCTCTAAGAAAAACAAAAGAAAAGAAAATAGGGGCCAGCAGGTGAAGTGGTGGTTAAGGCACTGGATTCACACATGGCCGACTGCGGTTTGAGTCCTGGACATAGTGGCTTGCTTTCTCACTTTTCTGC